GGAGGCGGGAGGGCGGCCGGGCCGCGGCGGCGCAAGGGAGGAGGGAGGGGACGCCGGGGCGGGGAGGAGGAGGCGCGGCCGGGGCGGGGAGGCGGCGGGGCGGTGCGCGACGGGGCGGGGAGGCGGAGGGGCGGCCGGATCTGGGGAGGGGAGCTGAAAACTCCCTCCCGCGCGAAACTGACGAGAGAACCGGGTCGGGGAGGGGTTGGGCTGCCAACCCCTGTTTCTACAAGCTGGGAAGGAGAATAGGGGTTGAGCCTCTAAAAAAATTTAAGGGTTTAAGGGTTAAAGGGTTCTATTCTTTACGATTTTTTCGTCTCAACCCGTAAAAAAGCGGTTATTTTTGAGGGTTTGAGGGTTTAGGGGTACTACTAGTAACGCTCTAATCACGAAGGCCCCCACAAAAAATAGCAAGTCGTGATGCGGTCGATGTGCTAACTGAAACTGAATTTGCCCGGTGTAACCAACTGAATTCTGCAGGAGTTCTTGGCCGTTGTGTGGCTGTGCATGGTGAATCAGATGAGGATAGCCTATAACGCCTACGGTGACACCGAAACGAGACCGTTCATGGTGCTTCTGATGGTAGTGCTCGCCTTGACTGTCGCCAACGTGTTTCACTTGGTCAGCACGCAGCGTACCCTCCGGCACAATCTACCTCCGTGCTTCACTGATTTGTTTGGTAGCTAGCCCGCTTTTACCACAAGCGTAGCGATCAATTTAGCCGCTAGAAAGATAGTATATGGCATTACCCAGATTTGTGGCATGAAAATATGGCAGTGTGTACAAGTGTATGGCAGCCAAACATGCCTAAGTTTTGCAGCTGATGAGTCTCCAGTGCATCTCTCTCTAGTCATTCAAACTAGTTGAATGTCGGTGCGTTTGTCATGGAATAATAAAACCTACATACACAATGATCAAAACATCGTCGACAAATAAGTCTCCTTGGAAAAATAAAAAACATATTAAAATAGCAGTGGAAAGCTCGGGATGAGATAAGCACCACACTTGATAGTAAACACACTGCTAGTACGTCACACACTGAGACTGACACGGGCTCACCCATGGATCAAACAACACGTTGTACTCCCTCTATTTCATAATGTAGCGTGTATAGATTTTTAAAAAAGTCAAAAATTACAAATTTTGACCAAATTTGTAAAGAAAATTATTTATCAGTTTTGCTAAAGCACATCTAGATATGCCATAAGTATTGCACATCTAAGTCCTATATCATTGATCTTACATTGAGATTCGTGTGAATATTTTTTTTTCTTTTTTTTTCTTTATGCTTGATTCACTCACTTAGATGTGCAATAACTAGAGCACATCTGGATGTGCCCTAGACACACCCATTATTTATATCTACATACCAAATATATAAAATATGAAACTACGTCTTTTGATGAATCTAATGATAGTGTTGGCATTCTTGATGAAAATATTTTTCTTTACAAACTTAGTCAGAGTTTTTTTTTTACAAAGTTGGTCAAACTTGATCAGAGTTGATGAGCTTTGACTTTTCAAAAATTCTTTCATTGGGAGACGTATGTTCACATCGACAGGGGGATAGAACACAATAGCCGGTGCTGTTGAAGATGTTCTTAGCCGCTTCACCATGGAGGATACGGGCCGCCGCACAGCCGGCATCACGTTGACACCACAGGGGAACACCAACGACGCACGGAGCCACACCAATCCGCTGCAACAGGCAACAGAGTGCAGGACTGATAACTCTTAGAAATTTCCCTGTTTACAAAAAAAAAAATAAAGAACAAATAGGTGATGATATGATAACTAGGTAAATTTCCCTGTTTTAAAAAATTTAGAGAAAAAATAGCTGATTATATGTAGCATCATTCTTTACTCCGAGATATACTATCTGTACACATATATTTCAAAAAAAAACATACACATTTGGGAAATATCAGTTGAAAGAAACAAAGCAATGTGTAATAAACATGAACAAAATTGCGTAATCCATGTCCGCTTGCTAGGTCTTTGTACGTGTCGAGGATTGGTGTCCTTTGTAGCGAAAAGGTGAATGAACATCTAGAGGATTGCTGGATCTTTGTATTTCTTGAAAAGAATCTCAATGTCATCGAGGACTTGCGGTGGCAGAGGCCGCGGAGCGCTGGTAAATGCATCGATGTTCTCCTTTAGCTGATCCATGGTGGTCGCTCCTATGATGGTGCTAGCTGTGAAAGGGCGGTCACGCACAAAGCCGAGGGCAAGCTGGACCGGTGTTAGCCCATGCTTCTTGGCAAGCTTGACATACTCGTCCGTTGCTTCCTGAAACAAAGGCAATAGGAAGTAAATGAGGATGAAGTCCGCCGCCCTCAGAAAATTGCGAAACTAATAAGCTTTAGTTCTGAATGGTTAGTTGCAGTGTTTAACCATACTTTAGCCAAAGACGCGTTGTAGCGCTCCATGTATCCCGGGAAGAGATTCAGCCTGCTCCTCTTTGCACCAGCAGAGTTAGCATCAAGATACTTTCCGCTGAGAACGCCACCCGCCAGTGGGGAGTAGGCAAGCAGCCCCACATTGCAGTTATTTGGGTGGCAGACCTCAACAAGATCAACTGTGACAAAATAAACATGAAGGCCAGGTCCAGCATATTAGGTACACACTAAGCTGGGCACTCAAAAGCCAGCACTCTGATACCATCACCTCAAGAATATGCAAAATGCACAATTTAACAAAATTATAACACAGTTATATGGAAGCCTTTTCATTCTTTTCAGTTATATCTAAGCAGGAAAGAAATTAGTTGTCAGCAAATACTTATCAGCAGTTTGTATTTATTTGACATAACATGCAACTGATTTTCAGACTAAAAGAGAAGGTAGAAAATCTCAGTTATTTAGAACCAAGGGCCTCATATGATGAATCTAGTGAAGACTGAAGAGATCGGTGCCATCTGTTTCACCTTCAAAGCGGCATCTCACAATTAGACTATAACTGTTCTGGATGCTCACAATCTTTGGAAGTCCTTGAAGTTTGGCAGCCTGTACAAACTCCATTACTCCATATGAGCTTTCATTGGAAACACCGATATAGCGTACCTAGAACAGACAATAAAAGTGATTTCAACAATTGTTCTTGTCTGCACTTCGAATACGCTGTGAGTGAACTACTTAAATGTGCCTCTAAAATGCAATAAGAACATGATCATAAGCTACTTCTAGAAACAAGGCATTAAGCCTGGCTTTCATTGCAACTCCCATTGGCAGCATTCTTACAATCAGGTTCACAAAGGGGACACCAGCTTACAAGGGGAGCTCAAACAAGATAAGTTCAGACTAGCAGCGCCATTCCGGATAATGAGTTTCATGCAGTGGTTTCAAAGACTAAGCTCTTCTTGCAATTATCAACAGGTCAGAATGCATCTCATGTTTCTTGCGGTCGAAATCAAATGGTAACCTGTTTCTATTAAGCTTACAAACAAGCTTTAGCAGTATGTTTGCATGTCATGTTTTTGGCCAGCGCCATCTCTAAAGCTGCGCTCCACTCAATTGCAAAATATTCATGTGGCTGGCGTTGCAGTGCCGTATCTGGACCTCTGATCACAGCGTACGGTGAGGCCTACAAGATCATCCCTCACCCTGCAATCTCTGTGACTAAGAGGAGGACACAACAGATCACATCCTCATGCAATGCATTTATGCCCGTCAGGTTTGCTCCAACTGCTTCCTGGCTGCCCACTGTGATGCCTCTCATGTTCCGATTGCTACTGACAACTTGGAGGATTGGTAGTGCAGCACTCGCAAGAGGATTCCCAAGGGAAAATGGCGTGGTTTCAACTCCATGGTCATGATTACTTGTTGCCTTGTTGGAGTTTGTGGAAGCAACGAAACGCAAGGGGTGTTCAACAACATTCACCTGCAGGTTTCTTCTGGCGCTCTGACCGCACTCATCCATCAGGATTTGAAACTCTGGGCATTTGCGGGAGGAAGACGCATAGCTGAATTTTATGAGTAATCTCTAGGTCTAGTAGCAGGAATTGGAGCTGTGGCATTTTGTGAGTAGTTCATTAGATGTTTAGGTGGTTATGGAGACTCTCTCCTCTCCGAAGATTGGTGGGAGGGTTTGTAATTTTAACTATTTCTCTTCTGTAAAAATATCAGCTAAATATGCATCACACAAGGCTTTTGTGTTTTCTCGAAAAATGCCTAAAAAATAATACCTTTCCTTCATCAATTAGCTCCTGGAAAGCTTTCAATTGATCCTCAAATGGAACGCTTGGCCTCCATTTGGTTGAATTATAACTGAATTCGCCAAATATTGGCACATACCTATCGGGCCTAAAGACATAAAAGAAACATTTGGAGGCAGGGTTGATTTCCTCGTCAAGGTAAAAGAAGCAAACTATATCAATATAACAAAAATAACCTCCTCCCTAATGTTGATAATAAGTTGGAATTTTTTTTCATGAACAAATGAACATCTGACAAAGTTAATATAATGAATATTGGCTCTGAAAATGATTGTGCATGCATTTGAGCTGGACAAAAAAAGGTGCAGGTTATGCCTAAGCAAGAATAATCTTCAAAATGAAACACTAACCAGTGTATCTGAAGCAAATCAATGTAGTCTGTAGATAAACGTGAAAGACTCTTTTCAACACTTTCCTTGATATTGGCGGCATCGACACGTACCACCTCTGCATTATCCCGAAGATAAGTAGATCGCTCTGAATAACCAGAAACTTTGGTGGCTAGAATCACCTAGATACACATAATCAAATCGTGCAAGTGTCATGTTTCAGGCTTTCTCAATTTAAAAAAAAAATATTTCAGACTTTCAATGACACTATTCAAACATGTCATTACAAATGGAAAATCTGGGGTCTGTTGATACTAAAGCCTGGGCCATAATTTATTCTGTTGTTCAACATCTTTATTCTTATTATTATGATCATAATCTCTAGACCCAGGCTTTCACGTTTATATTTAATCTGTTGGGCCATATCATTAATGAAAACAGCTCAATGCTGCTCTTTCGTCAAAAATAATCCTAAACACTGACATCAACTTGGGTGGGGAATCAGCGTAACATATATGCAGATCACAAAAAAGAATCATGTACACATAGAAACAAGTTAATTAAACAGAGTAGAGTCTCATGTCCATGAATTTGCTGGTAATCCAAGCAGCGGGCATGATTGAACAATTTAGAATAAGGTGATAAACAACTGGGCCTGTTTACAGTACCTTGTCTCGTGGCTTGGATTGCATCCACCTGCCTATATATAGATCAGTCCGCCCTTGAGTTTCCTTCTTTGTTGGAACTGGATACTAAAGGAATAAAAAATTAAAAACTAGATCTATCATTCATGGATGGCTGATAGAATTGAACTTCAGAGGATAAGGGAATAGAGTCCACAAAGGGAATTAAAGAATACACAGTTCTGCACTGACCATTTCTGCAGTGTCCAGGATATTGATGCCCTGATCAAAAGAATAAGAAAGCATATCATGTGCTTCCTTCTCTGTGTTTTGCTCCCCAAAAGTCATCTGAAGGAACAAAGAATTAGCCCGGATTGTAAAAGAAATGTAGCAACAACATACAACATGATCTGCAGCTATGCACATACTGTTCCAAGAGTAATCTCGCTGATAAGAAGGTCTGAATCTCCAAGCTTCTTATACTGCAACTCTTGTTGTGCCTGCGCTCGAACCTTGCTGCGCAGGCGTCTCGCGTGCCATCTTTGAGACCGGCGGGCAGTCAACCCCGGTAAGTTATTGCTATATGACGAGGAGGGGGTCGTGACGAACGCAGATAGCGCCATTTGTTGCATACTGAAACTCCTGTTCATGCATATTACAGCAAACAACCATTTTCCGTGTCAGCGGTGGAACACTAGGTGCCCAATTTTTGGAATTAGTACAAAGAAAACCTGACCGCTACATTCTACATTATGCATAGCCAAACCCTTACATGTAATTATATTTCTTGATCTGGCAAGCCCACTAAACAAATTAATATTGGGAACCCCAACAGATAAGCTCCTGAAACCTAGTATCTGGAATCCCTGCCCCCAATACCTACTATTTCTCGGTTACTTTATAATTTGACAAATAAGCATGCGCTTCTGGACTTGCATTCCCGAGAATTTCCGGGGAAACAACATATGGGACGGTTTGAAACCTTAGTCGGATGCGCTTATTCGGAATCGAGAACCGCAGAGAAGTAGAGACGGAAGAGGGCTACCTGTTTCTAGGTCGTTGCCTCCCAAGTTCAGCGCCGCTGCCGGCAGCTAGGATGGTGGGAAGCTAGGTGTCCCCTGCCTGCGACGCCGGGAGAGGACGGAGGAGGCTATGCGAGGTTGGTTGCCTGAACTCCGGGTGACGGAGGCGGGTAGGGGTGGATGAGGTGGCCGTCCCGCGACGGCGCAGAACACAGTGTGCGTGTGTGGCAAAGATTCGTGGATGCGGAAGCAACAGCATGCCAAGCCCAGGCACTCTCTCTCTTTTTTCTTTTTTTTTTGAGAAAAGCCCAGGCACTCTCTCAAGCAGGGCCCAGGATCTCTCACGGGTAAACACTTGCTGGATCCGTTTGCACCGGCCCGGCCCGGCCCGGCCCAGCCCAGCCCAGGATGAGACTTTTACGGCTCATTTGGAAAAAAGTGTACCCCCTCAAAAGCACCAGAATCATAGATTATACATACATGCCCGTGCGTTGCAACGGAAGAGATAATTGACGTGACTAAAATATCTGTCAGCATGGCCCAACAACACCTGAATTGTGCCCGGCCAAACAGAGAGACGCACACTGAGATCTAACAGAAATTCATATTAGTGATACGTTAAGAAGCATGCTACACATACAATACTTTTTGTACAATTATTTTGATTTTAAAGAGCCCAATTTTCAGTTTTTCATACCAATACATTATTTGTAGATTGAAGCAATGTTTGGAATCTGCAGCAAGCCGCGAGAAAAATCTCAATAAAAAGATTCTATTAAATGTGTTTTAGGTCATCTTTGCATATGGTTGAAGATTAAAAAAATTAATTGTCTGTGTATGAGCAAAACGACCCTAATTTGTTGCATACAACTGAACGTTCTTATTTTTGTTGCACATAACGGCCGCACACTGCACACCAACACATATATGTGTGTCCCTCCCACATCCCTTGGTATTAATTTCTTTTTATTATTGCATTGCTTGTATGCCACACCCTTGGTATTAATATCAATTCATTTGTGCTATTCTCTCCTTCATATTTTTTTAGTTCTCTCGTTCTTTTTTATCCCTACTGATCACACCCTTTATTCTCTTTTTTTTATTACCCCTATATACCCATTGAAATTGATCATTTATACTCCCTCTGATACATATAGACCCTCGTAACATATTCATATATATAAAGATTATATAAAAGTTATATTGTGTTAGCATTTCCCAAAAAACACCATAACAGTTAATTAGGTTAATTTAGTTTATACCCTGAACGGAACTTTAAAGTGGTTAACAGGAACAAATAATAGCACAGTTGAAAATTAAGCCTTTTTCTGATCAAATTACATATCCAAATTATTTAATCCGAGTTACGATTGCAAAGTTATAGTATAATCATATTTAACATATTCTCTATAAATAATAAAAACAAGGGATCTAACAGGCGAAAAACAGATCGAACTGGACCTACTACAGCTGAACATGAAATACTAATCAGCGCCCAGGCGCGCGAGATAGCGGCTGCCGCAATTGGGCTAAACCCCAAAAAGAAAGGGCACTTAATGTGGTATCGCGGGTGGCTCTTTTGTAAAAAAATATGACGGCAGACGGGCAGAAACGCTCTGTACTTTATTAGTAGCTATATAGATTTCCCACAAAAAAACCATAGGATATATAATAAGATACCATAGTATATATTAGGAGATGTAGATAGTAAATATATGTCTGTTGTTCTGTAGTAAGAAGAAACGATTACATATCTATCAATTTGAATTCCGCTTTACGAGCACCCGTATCAAATATATTAATTATTTCTTCGGAGCTAAACTTGGCTGCTAGTTCCTTCTCACTGTAAACTAACGTGCAATGACGAAGAAAATCATCTTCCATTTTACTTCGAAGCCGTGTCTTCACTGGTTTCACTGCAGAAAAGGCTCGCTCTGTTGTTACAGTTGACACTGAGAGAGTTATCACCAATCGTAACAACCTCTCAACCATTGGATAGTCAGAAGACTTGTCAGTCTTAACTATTCCTTTTTTCAGATCAACAAGTGATTTGCAGTTCTTGATCTCCGGATGGTTGAATGTATCAAGCTGAAAATGTGGTAGCTTGCACTCCAACCTATCTCTTTCTTGACTAGAAAAATCTGCTGGATAGAATTTCTTCACTAGTGTGCATATCTTTGACTTGTTGAAAGCATCATGCCTCGGATCCAATGACGAACTGTAACACCCCGGATGTAACTTTCTCTATTTGTACTCCAACTCTTGCCGTTTCCGGCGTTAAGTTATTTTATTTTCTCGGGTTCGGGTCTTTGTCTCCGTGTGTTGTTATCGTTGTCATGCATCTCGTATCATGTCATTATGTGCATTGCATTTGCATACGTGTTCGTCTCTTGCATTTGAGCATTTTCCCCGTTGTCCGTTTTGCATTCCGGCACTTCGTTCTCCTCTGGTGGTCATTTCTAGCTTCTTTCATGTGTGGGGATTAAACATTTCCAGATTGGACCGAGACTTGCCAAGCGGCCTTGGTTTACTATCGGTAGACCGCCTGTCAAGTTTCGTACCATTTGGACTTCGTTTGATACTCCAACGGTTAACCGAGGGACCGAAAAGGCCTTGTGTGTGTTGCAGCCCAACACCCCTCCAATTTGGCCCAAAACTCACCAAACTCTGCTCCATGTTCTAGAGCGTTCGATCACAATCGTGTGGCCAGAAACCGGACCTCATTTGGACTCTCCTAGCTCCCTCTATGCCTATTTATAGCCCCTCCTCCGAAATCTCGGGTTCATTTCGTCCCTAACCCTAGATCCAGTCGTCCTCTCGCGCGCCGGACATATTTCCGCCGACGGACATTGTCCGGTCCGCCTCCCGCCACCACGTGTCACGCCGGCATTGGACCGTGCCGCCGCCCCACTTCGTCGCCGCCGCCGGCCCGGGAGGCCCAGGTCGGGCCCCCGAGGCCCACGCCGC